GTAGTTCAGCTTGAGGAGTTTTTATTGCCATATCTTCAAGTGTACTGATTCCTTTCTTGGCCATTTCCAACCTACTGGTCTATCAAAGGCATAATTCACTCGTTACAGTTATTTTATTCTTAATTTCTAGCATCTCCTTTTGATTCTTTGAGTTTTCCTCCATTTACATTAACAATCTGGTCATGTTGTCTATTTTTACTGGTAGATCTTAGTACATTAATCATGGTTATCTTAAATTGCATATCTGATAATTCAAAACCTGTGTCATATCTACATTTGTTTCTCATGCTTGTTTTATCTCTTGAGACTGATCATTTTTTAAAGAATGTCTTGCAGGGTTTTTTTTGCTAGACACTCAAATGAGTGTGAGGTTTTATGTTAATCTAATCCAGGACTTGGGTTGTGCTTAAATGTTTGCTCTAGCTGTAGGTGTTAGAGGTTTCAATTTCTTCTAGTCTCTTTTTCTCCCTTGTTTCTTTCAGGTTTCTCTAAAACTCTGTAAATAGAATGTGACCCTTGCAGGTCCTTCATCTGTAATCTATAGTTACTATATTGAAGTCCTGTTGATGTGGCATCAAGGTGTGGGAGAAAAGGAGGCATTCTGTAATACTATGATTAAGTCTCAATCTTTTAATGCGCCCATGTCTCCAGTCTGCAACCTTCACAAGTGTTTCACAGCTTTTTTCCCCTCACTTTCTTAGGTAAGACAGCAAAGCTTAAGGAGACTGGAGTTGGATAAGGCCTTGTTAAAACTGTTTTCCTTGCTGGGTAGCCCTATGCTATGTAGAAAGTTTTGAGTATACTTCAAAATGATTAGTTTTCTTCTCCCTATGCCAGAAACAAAATTTTTGGTTCCTCAAGCAAAAATCCTCTACAATTGTGGCCCCCAGGAGTTTTGTTGTTTCCATACTAGTCTACATTCTGCCTCCAGTAATTTGTCAGCTGCTTAAATGTTCCCTCTAGTTTATGGCTCCAGTGCTTTCTGCTCCTCATAGGTAGATCCGGGATGCAATTTTCTGTAACTTCCTGTCTCCAGATTTCAGGGATGCAGTTTGCTCCGTGACTTCAATTTTCCAATGAGTCCAAGAAAAGTCATTGATTTTTATATCTGTTTTTCTTATTGCAAGATGGAAATGATGACTTCCAAGCACTTTACATATTGGATCTAGAACCAGAAGTCTGCAACTAGCTTTTTAAATTCAAAATTATTATGTTTGTGAGTTTCATCCACATTGATACCTATAAATCCATTTCATTCATTTTCTACTATGCATTATCCTATTTTGTTAATATGCCATGCTTTATCTATTATCCTGTTGATGAACATATATGCTGTTTACAAACAATGCTACAAAAAGTATCATTGCAATATCTCCTAATGTGCCTGTGCAAGAGTTTCTCTAAGATAAATACTGAGGAGTGAGATTGCTTACTATAGTGTGTGAGCATTTCCAATTTTACTAAATATGCCAATATTCTTGAAAGTGGTTTTACTTATTTATATTCCCCCAAAAGTATGCTAGAGTTCTTATTGTTCCATATGTTCACCAATACTGGGCATTGTCAGGTCTTTAAATATATGTCAACATCGTGTGTGTTAAATGGCTTGTATTGTTATGGGTTTATTTTGTATTTCCTTGATTACTAATAAGATTTCTTAAATTTACTGGCCATTCATGTTTTTGCCTCTGTGAATTTTCTGTTCATATCTTCTCCCCATTTTTATTGGGTTGCTTGTGTTTTCCTTATTGATTTGCAGAAAAAGATTTCCTTCAATGATTCAAAAAGCACAAATCATTGAATAAAATATTGATAATTTGATAACATTAAGATGAAAGACTTCTACTCAACAAAAGACATCAGAAACAACGCTAAAAGGTAAGCCATCCACTGGGAGAAAATATTTGCTAAACAAACAGCAAGAATATGTATCCAGATTTTTTTTTTTTTGAGTTGGGGTCTCTTTCTGTTGCCAAGACTGGAGTGCAGTGGCATGATCATGGCTTACTGCAGCCTCAAACTCCTGGGCTCAAGTGATCCTCCAGCCTCCTACCTCAGCCTCCCAAGGAGCTAACATTATAGGTGTGTGCCACAATGCCTGGCTAATTTTTTGGCTATTTTGTAGAGATGGCATCTCGCTATATTGCCCAGGCTGGTCTCGAACTCCTGGGCTCAAGCAATCCTCCTGCCTTGGCCTCCCAAAGTGCTGGGATTACAGGTATGAGCCACTACACTTGGCCTATATCCAGAATTTTAAAATAATCCCTATAAATAAATTTGAAAAAACAAATGACTAAACAATGGGCAAAGGAATGGAACAGGTAACTCAGAGTTGCCAAAAGGGTAATAAATATAGGAAAACATGCATAATCTCACTAGAAATCAGAAACATGCAAATTTAAAAGAGATTCCTTTTCAAGCCTATTAGACTAGCAAAATAAAGTCTAATACTCCAAGTTTTGGCAAGAATGTGAAGGGGATCTCTGAAAGTCTGCTTGTTAGAAGTTGAAGATATATATACCCTATATCACAGTGATTTCACTCCTAGGTATATAACCTAGAACAGTGGTTTTAAAAATGTAATTCTCAGGAAAGCAGCATCAGCATCTCTTGGGAACTTGTTGGAAATGTAAATTCCCAAGCCCCATGCCCACTCTATTGAGTCAAAAATTCTGGGGATGGAGCCCAGCAATCTGTGTTTTCATAAGCCCACCAGGTACTTCTCATGCACACTAACATTGGAGAACCACTGCAACAGAGTGACATTTTCCCTACATTTTTGACTGAGATCTATAGGAAAAATTGCATTCTTCATTGTGGCCCACACACATATTACATATACATACAAATACATACAAAATAAAAGCCGTAAGGAAAAGTAATTACCCTAACCATATGGAACACATTTTGACATTTTCTTTTCTATTCCACTTCATTTCATTTTTATAAAAACCCTGCTGGTTGTGACCTACTAATGGTAACCTAAGTTTGAAAAACACTGTCTTAAAACCCTTGTGTATGTGCAATAAGACATATGTACAATAGTGTTTGTTAAAGAGTTATCTGTAATAGGAAAATAATGGAAAGTAAAAATCTTCAGGAAAATGAATTATGGTCTACTTTTACAATGTAATATCTTATGATTCCTTGTATCATTTCAAGCTGGGTGCAGTGGCTCACTCCTGCAATCCCAGCACCTTGGCACTTTGGGAGGTGAAAGCGAGAGGAGTAGTCTGAGCCTAGAGGTTTAAAACTAGCCCTGGCAATTGGCGAGACCTTGCTTCTACAATAAAATAAAATAAAATTAGCCAGGTATGGTGGCATGCACCTGTGGTTCCAGCTACTTGGAAGGCTGAGGCAGAAGGATAACCTGAACCCAGTAGGTCATGGCTGTGGTGGCTGTGAGCATGCCACTGCACTCCAGCCTGGGCAACAGAGTGAGACTCTGACAAAAAATAAATAAATTTCAAAAACATTGCATATATTCAATTAAAAAAGCAAATTGTAGAAGTGTATCATCTATATAGTTTTAAAATGCGTAAAATTATGTGCTGTTTATGAATATATAGCTATGCAGTAAAAGTATCAAAATGCGCATGGGAATGGTAAATAGCAAACTCAGAATAGTAGTTATCTCTGGAAAGGAGAAAGAAGAATGAGATTGATAAGGGATACATAAAAGTCTTTAAGTATATCTATAGTGCTTTATTATTCCTTTGATTAAGCAAATATGGAAACTATTAGGAGTTAATAAAGATTGGTAAAGGCTGACTGGACAAACAGGTGCTTGCTATATTATTCTATATAATTTTGGTAAATTAGTGATATTTCACAACAAAAATAAATAAAAATCAAGCTACTTTTGCTATAACAGCAAGAATATATTAGAAATTCAATTACTCAAAGGAAATTGCTTTAATATCCCTCTACTACAATGCTTTTTCTTTTTTAAAAAATGTTCAGGAGCCAAGCATGGTAGCTTACGCCTGAAATCCCAGTACTTTGGGAGGCCATGGTGAATGGACTGCTTGAGTCCAGAAATTCAAGACCAGTCTAGGCAACATAGCAAGACCCCATCTTTATAAAAAATTTAAAAATTAGCTGAGCATAGTGATGCATGCCTGTAGTCCTAGCTACTTGGGAGGCTGAGGTGGAAGGATCACCTGAGTCCAGGAGTTTGCAGCTGTGGTAAGCTGTGATTGTGTTACTGCACTCCATCCTGGGTGACAGAATGAGACCCCAACTCAAAAAATAAAATAAAATAATTCAGGGACAGTCAGAAACTTAACATTTGGGGGAGGTGGTGTTTTTTAAATTGGACACAACGAAGTATATGCTCCAGGGGCTTATGGTTACCTCTTTGGGTAACATGGTAATGAAGAGTTTTCCATTTCAGATGTAATATATAGCATGAATATGAAATAATGATTTGATCAATTAAGCAAGTATTAGTTACAATGTTGCTTAGTTACATGTTTGACAATTTCTTAAACCTTAGAGGATTTATGTTTCACTTTGCTGCTTTGCTAACAGAAACTTAAGTCATATGCTTTGTGAAAGCCAGATGGAGCATTCTTAAGAGAAGACTTATGTGGTAACAGTAAATCCTGCTCACAATCAGGAGGTTATTGACTAATTCCAGAGGTACTATGGCTACCAGCTATGGTGGTCCTATGAATACTACTTAACTATTCCTAGCCTAGGAAATTGAAGGTTACTTTTCCTTCAACTCAGGGCTTCTAATGGGTATGGACTAGAGGTTAACCAAGATTTCTTTAAAATTCTAATGGTAGTTTGGACCTTAGAAAAGCACAAAGAACATTATAGGAAATACGCTACTTATATAGTATGCAGAGAATCAATAGTCAAGGTCAAGGACAAACACAATCATTGTGACTATATCATGATTCTTTGGCATAATCAAAGATAATTTAAAAGTATTACTTTAGGTAAACAAAAGAGAAAACAACCCATGTTGTTTTACTTGGTTTGGCCTATACCTTGTTTGGCTCCCCTGGATTATATGAAGAAAACATAGGAATTTTTCGGATCTCTTCCTCTGACAAACGATTTCTCTGGATCTCATCTTCTGGGACAAATTCTATTGGCTGCGTCAGCTTCTTAGGCCCAGTCCAACACTGCTCAGGTGAAAAATCAATAGCTTTTGCCACATGGAGACTGGGACCTTTACCCTGTGCTGCCTGTTTTCCCTTGTCCTGGAGTAATGACGGGTTCTCAGCTGTGCCACTATCACCCACTGATGTAGCTGAGACCAGTGAGTGGGAAGCAAAGGGTTCACCTCTCATAAGTTGGAACTCTTCAAGACGTTTTTTCATTAGCATCTCTTGGTAAAAACTTTCCAGGTTGTTCATGGGATCACCTTTGTTCTTCTTTTGGGGTTCATCTGGATCAAGACAAAGAGATAGGGAAGTTCTACAAAGCCTACCAATACAACCTTTGATAAATCAATAAAAATTAAATCCTGGATCTCAGATACAGAAACTCTTCTGGGGCAGGACTTTGCAACCTGTGACAAATGACAACAGTATAAAGGTACCTTATTACCATGCATCTCAAGCAAGGTCAGAGCTATGGAGAGGCAAGTGAGGCACCCAGGACTCTCAGGGTCAAGCAAATAGATGCACCTCTAACTAATAAGGATATTTTCAAAATATAAGCACTATGGCATTGTATCTCACAAAATTAATAATAATTCCTTAGCAACATCTAATATTGAATTCATATTCAAATTTCCCTGCTTATTTCAAAGACTTTTATACTTGGTAAAAAAAAACAAACACAACATAACAAAAAAACAGCCTCTCGTTGTTGTATCTCTTAAGTCTCTTTTATTCTAAAGCAGTGGCTCTTCCCTCCCATCCCTCTAAGTTATTTTCTCCCTGATCCATTAATTTATTAGAAAAATCATATTCGTTCTATGAACAAATGAATTTTATGAGTTATTTCCTGATGGTGTTGTTTAACTTGTTCTTTAATCCCCTCTTATTTCTTGGCAGTTAAATTTAGAAGTATGCTATCTAATCCAATAGCCACTGCTCACATGTTTTTACTTAAATTAAATTTTAAATATCAGTGCCATACTTATCACATTTCAAGTGCTCAATAGCCATACGTGGCTAGTGAATACCATACCGGACAGAACAGATAAAAACTATATCATTGCAGAAAGACGTATTGATCAATGTTGATCCAGAGATTTGATTAGATTCAGGTTTAATATTTTTAGATAAGAGTCTCTCATAAATAGATGTGTACTTTCTATTGCATCATGTCATAGGGTACATAAGATTTGGTGGCCCTATTTTTACTCATGCTGAAATTGATCAGTGGATTCAGGTGGTGTTAGTCTCATCACTCCATTATTAAGTTCTTCCATTCATCTTTCATCTCATGAGTTTTACATCTATTGAAGATCATTGCTTAGATCTATTAATTTATTAAGAGTTATAAAATGGGCTTTCCTAATTCTATTTTTTTCATGTATTACCTGGAACTCTGTAACAAACTTACCGTCAACAACTATTTGGTTTGCATAAATACAGTTCATACAGAAAAGGCAGGATAAATGCTTGATTCTTTCCCATTATTTACCAATGATGAGAGTAATAAGTCGGTACCTTAGAAATGTCCAAAGGTGACCAATGGTTATTTTAATATGATAATGAAATTATGTATTTCCATATATTTAATGTGTGTCAATTAAATATAGTCATTATTCTTTTTTATGTGGTCAAATTATCCCCTTAGGATCAGTGGGAGCCCTTTTAAATCAATCTCTGCGTTGTTTCCCAGTTTTCTGGCATAGCCATATATCTCAAGATCATGTTGCATACTTCCTAACCCAAGCCTGGAATATTTTTCCAAGTACCCCTGGTGTCTTTTAGTGGGAAGTAGTATTTAGAAGCCATAGTGTGTTGCTAGGTTTGCTCATTGCTGTTGACTTGTTGTTTTTGGCCTTTTCAGTGAACAAGCAGACATTTTTTCAAAAATCATAAGTTCATATTGGTATTTCCAATTCAAATGTAAGATTAAAAGGTTTTTACTTAAATCCCTTGGTTTCAGACTTGTATCTCTTCTTGTGAATTTAATATTAGCAAAATTATTTATTAACTTACTCCTACCATAAACTTATAGAACTTTAAAGTGCCTGTAACAATACTAATATGACTATCAACAACAAAACTGCTGAATACAGTTTTCTGTTCCTTTATAGTTACCTTTGCCCTTAGAATATGTTTCTATTACAGGTGTATAAATGTTGCCTTAAAGTCACTATAAGTAATTGTTTTCTTTGTGTTATTATAATACCAACTTTACTTATTATTAAGTTCATTTGCTTCAGGTTGTTTTTGAATTTTAAGGATTTCTTTATTTTTTGATTAAATCTTTTAATTATGCAAAATGTTTACATGGATCTAAAATGAAACTGTTTTACAGTACCTTCACAGAAGTCTCACTTCCATCTCTGTCTCCTTCATCCCCCTCCCCATAAATAATATTTGATTAGGTTTAGGATTATGGTTCCATTGCTTCTTTTTTGAAAATATAAGCAAATAGGCACACACACACACATAATTCATTAGTTATAGCCCCTCCTACATAAAAAGTAACTTACTATAAACACTGTTCTATAACTTTTTTGCACTTAACAATATATCCTGGGGATAGTTCCATGTGAATGTGTAGAGTTCTTCTTCCTTCTTACACCGGAACAGTACTCCATTGTGTGACTGCAGTATAGCTTATTCAACTATTCCTCTACTGGTACACATTGGTCTTGTATACAGTCTTATGTTGTTATGAATTGTTATAAATAATGCCCTAACAAACAGCCTGTGCTTACAGGATTTGGTCTTTTACCAGCATATCTTTAAAACAGATTCTAAGAAGTGGAATTGCTGAGACAAACAGTGCATGTGTATGTATTTTTTCCTATATATTGTTAAGTTTCACTCTGTAGGAGTTGTACTATTCTGTATTTCCACCAGCAAGGCACAGGAGTAGTTATAGGAATATTTCTTAAGTTACAAAAAGCACTAACCATTAAGAAAAAGATTGATAAAGTCTGCTACATTAAAATTTAAAAATTTTGTTCATCAAAACGTCATTAAAAGACGGAAAAGATAAGCCACAGAATAGGAAAAGATACTTGCTACACAAATAACCATTAGAGAACTTAAATCCAAAATGCATAGATAACTCCTAAAATCAATAAGAAAAAGATGAACAGTTATTAGGAAAATGGACAAAATACTGAAGAGATAGCTCACAAAAGATAAAATACACATAGCTAATAAAATATGCGGAAGTGCTGAACTACATTACAATTCAGGAAAATGCAAATTAGGAAAGGAATGAAACGCTAATAGAAAACTGACATACCGGCAAAATTTTTATTTTTAATTGCCAATACCACATGTCAGTGAGGTTATAGAGAAAATGGTACTCTCATATATCACTGATGGAAATTTGCAGCCACAGTGCAAATCGGTATGACATTACTTCCTAACATTGAAGATATGTTCAAAATACACTCCCACATATATACCTTTTAAAAAAATGTGGGTATACATGCACCAGGATACAATAATGAGAATTTTCAGATAAGTGCTATTTATAATTGCTAAGAACTAGCAAAAATACAAATGTCCAACCAAGAAGAATTAATAAAATTCTGGTAAGCTTATATGATGAAATGTCATAAACCAATTAAAGTAAACAAATTTCAGCTACATATACCCATGTAGATGAATACATGAATGCATATACTCAAAAATACGCATTCAGTGACTATTATGACTCAGGCACTATTCTAAGTTCTTGGGATGCAAAAATAAATAAAGATTCCTATTTTCATAGAGATAAATGAATTATCTGGTATGTTTGGTATGTTGGAAGGTTATAAGTACTATAAAAAATAGGGTAAGATTGAAAGAGCTATGGGGTGATAGTAATGGTGGCTGCAACTTTAATGTTGGTCTGGATAGATCTTATTGAGAAAGTGACATCTGAGGAAAGACCTGAAGAAAGTAAGAATAATTATCATGCTAATATTTAGAGTAAAGGCCCAAGATGGGAGCATGTTTAAAAAATTTTTTAAGGACTAATCATATAAAGTATGTTCTCTCACTACAATGAACTTACATTAGTGATCCACTATTGTAAGAAATATGAAAAAAACCCATAAGCATTTGGAAATTAAGCAACACACTTCTAAATAACTCATGATTCAAAGAACTCACAAAGGGAATTTTAAAATATTTTTACATAAATTTGCAGCTTTAAGTGTCTGTATCAGAAAAGAATAATTTCAAATTTATAACCTGAGTTTCCAAGTTAGAAAACTAGAGAAAGAGTAAACTAAACACAAAACAATCAGAAGGAAGAACATAATAAAAATTAGGGAATAGATCAATGCAATAGAAAACATCAACATAGAGAAAATCAACAAAACCAAAAGCTGATTCTTGGATAAGTTTAACCAAATGACAAACCCTTAGCTAGACTGACCAAGAAAATTAAAAAGAAGACAAAAATGACTAGAATCAAGAATTAAAGAGGAAGCATCACTACTGATCCTACAGAAATGAAAAGCAATTATGGAGGAATATTATGAACAAGTTTAGGTCAACAAATTAGAAAACATAGATGAATGAACAAACTCATAGTAACATACAAATTACTCAAGCAGCCTCAATAAAGAGACCAGTCGAATAAACCTATACCAAATGAAAAGGTTGAACTACTGATCAACAAACTACACACGGAGAAAAACCTAGGTTTAGATGTCTCCATTGAGGAATTCTACCAAGAATTTAAAAAATAATACCAGCCGGGCTCGGTGACTCAGTCTGTAATCCCGCACCTTTGGGAGGCTGAGGTGAGTGGATGGCCTGAGCCTGCAGGTTCGAGACCCGCCTGGGCAGCGAGACCTCATCTCTACAGTAAATCAAAAAATCAGCCGGGTGTGGTAGCGCATGCCTGTAATTCCGGCTACTTGGAAGGCTGAGGTGGAAGGATTGCCGGAGCCCAGCAGGTTGAGGCTGCGGTGGCCGGGAGCGGCCACTGCACTCCAGTCTGGGCGACAGAGTGAGACTCCAACTCAAAAAAAAAAAAAAAAAACATAATAATAATAATAATACCAAGCCTCCACAAACACTTGGAAAACAGAGGAGGAGGAATACTTATTAATTCATTTTATGATGTCAGTATTACCAAAGCTAAGCAAACATATCACAAGAAAAGAAAACCATAGACCAATATCCCTCATGAATATGAAAGCAAAAATACTTAACAAAATATTAACAAGCCTAATCCAGCAACATAAAAAAGGATTATACATATATAAGTGGGATTTATCCCAGAAATGAAAGATTGGCATAA